TTTTGATAATTCCGTTCTTACCAACCTGTTGATCCGTTCCAGGTCAGTCTGTGTCCATTTTACAACACCAAATGAATACTGCAAAATTGGGATGGCATAGCTATTAATTGCTTTGGTCAGGTTTTTTGAATTAAGCTTGCTTTTTAATAGCTTTTTTAGTCGTGTCTTGAATTGACCAGTAAGTATTTCCTTAATTTTGCTATGTTCAATTTTGTTTGTCTGCAGAACTCCAAGGTATTTGTATGGATCACGGGACATCGATGCTACTTTTGTGTTTGGGTCCAATTGAAATTCAGGTCCATCAATCAATTTTCCTCTCTCAACGGTTACTGTTTGGCACTTTTTGACACCGAAGTCCATGGCAATATCAGTGCTCATCTGATAGGTGAGTTTTAGGGCAGCGTCTAGTTGCTTTTGTTTTGCCGCGTAGATTTTTAAGTCATCCATAAAGAGCAAATGGCTGATAACTTTTGAATTTTTTCCAAATTTTAAGGTAAAACCGAACCCTGTTTCTTTAAGTGTTTCGGATATTGGGTTCAGAGCAAGGCAGAACCATAATGCAGACAAGGAGTCCCCCTGGAAGATTCCTTTCTGCAATCTTATAATTCCAGATTCTATATTTGACTCTTGATGTTTGATACTTAGTGAAGTATTCCATTTGGTCATAGTATGCTGTAAGAAATTTATGACGGTATTATCGATACTGTAAATCTCCAGCACTTTTAGAAGCCAGCTGTGAGGTATTGAATCGAAGGCCTTCTGGTAATCTACGTATGCCATGCACACATTTCTTTGCCTTTGGCGTGCTTGCTCAAGCTGTACCTTCTTACCCTTAAATATGCAAATTGAATAAGGAAAGAGTGTGGAAAAATGAATCGAGATAATATTCTAATACGGTTGCGGAGCAAAGGCAACGCGGCAACAGATAAAATCGTTTTAACGACGGAGCAGAGAAATGCCGATGCTAATAGACTAGGAAACGCGAGCGAGAAAAATGACCGCGACACTTTATTACTAGCGGGCCGTTACGACTTATCGAGCTGCACACACCTCTGGCCGATTATCATTTTAAAGCCATAATTCTGATCAAGTGGGAGTTTTATAATTTCTTCTAATAGACGCGCGAGGAGAGTATAGGAGAGTCGAAGGCATTTAGAACGTTTACAACCACTACTGGTCGAAGCCTACGCCTCGAATAGCTTGGCGCTATTGAGACTAACCAGTTTGAAATGTGCAAGATCGGTTATGAGAGCCTATATAATGACGACATTACATTTACAAACTGGAAGAATAAAGTTAGAGAATGGTAATGCAATGGAGATTAAATAACTTGAGAAAAAGTATATGTTTGTCTGAATTACAGTAACATCACTTACTGTAACGTTTTTGCAACTAAAGCGCAGTCATCAGCGTATTGAAGTTCTGTGCCGAATTTTGTACGTGTTTTTGCCCTGACTCTTTTTGTTGAACAGACTGCCGTCGTATCTGTATCTAATACCCAATCCTCTTTCCTGCAGTTTGCTGACCAATATAATGAAGAGCGACTGACATGAAGATGTTGAATAGGAGAGGCGCTAAGTCACATCCCTGCCTAACTCTTTAGTGTCTATGGTAAGACCTATTCAGCAACTTTGTTATAAATTATTATAAACCAAGAACAACTGCGTTGTGAGACTCAATTTTAAATTATCAATAATAATCAAGACCTTTGAAGCAGTATTACAGAGAATCGCAACCATTGAACCCAATGCAATAAAAAGTCATTCGTACAACTTCGTCAGTTACTAATAGCCACTAGACGCTTGATTTTTAGTAATCTTTATTTTTTTACCTTAAGAAACCTTACCTTTGAAACTTACCTTTTTTACCTAAAGAAATTTCGCGATTTTTATTTTTTTTTTTCATTCAATTCTGTGAGACTTGTAGACAAACATCTACTTGTAGACCTTTATATGTTGGAATTAATGAACATAAAGATTATTTAAAAAGGGTGATTCTCGCAAAAAAGAAACATTTGTCAGCATTCATGGGACACAGAACACAGAATGGGATTTAACAATGCAAAAACTGAAATGATTGAAACGATATCTTCAAGACGAATAATAAAAGAGACTTTTTTAATCCACTCAAGCATCTGTAGAGGTCAATAATGTATTTTTTTACTACTTCATCTGGGTTTCCTACAAAGCAAGTTACTACGTATGACCCTCAGCCACCCCTCTGAGGTATTTAACACCTTGTTAGGGGAGTTTCTAAGCATCTGAGAAAGTACCACCCCACGTGTTCGCCAAGATTTAAATAATGCTCCTCCAGGTCGGCGAGGCTTTTGTCGGGCAAAATAAAGGGACCGAGTAATCCTCCCCTTGTGACATTACCACAAGAGTAAGTTAGTAATTACCACTTTAGTAAGCTGTACCTACTCCCAAGGCATCAAACGCTATATACGGGAGCTATTATTATTATTATTATTATTATTATATTCATATATTAAAGGCGGAAAGGACGTTATTACAGCATTTTGAAACGCATTTTTGTTAGATATGTTTGACGCTTCTATGACAAATTTGATTTTTTTGTAAATTTGTTGCGCTTTGAATTATTTTTTTGTTTATTCCCTACATCAGGGGGGTCCTTATATACCTCCGAAACCTAATGCATGGGATCCCCAAATAAACTTGCACCATGCAAAAGGGTCTTCCGCCATAACCACAAGACTCGTTGAGAAAAATCAACATGTAATGGTATTAGTCCAAGAACCCTGGGTGTATCAGAGACACATGTTTCAGAATTTACAAAATTCAAATTAATATCGAGGATTGTGTCAAAAAGATTGTGACTGCCTCTGCATTCTTTTCGGGTGATGCAAAGGGTAAATTATGCGAGCTCCGTAAGTACAGGAGCTCGCGCGATTCTGCAGCCAACGGCGACTACTTCTGCTATTGGGATGTGACTCCAATACGCACAATGAGGTATGGGGAAGCACTTCTACTAACACTAGAGGTGAGTGTTTACTTGAATTCCTCTTAGCATACAATCTAGCATAATTAGTTACGAGATGTGTGTCTGTCATTTTAAATGTAAAATTATATGAGGAGTTTTATCGATCATGTCCAAGCCAACTGGCTGCCGTTTCCTTACGATCATACAGTATATTATGAAATGCATGTGTGTATTAATGTGTATACGTAATATGGGTCTCCAATTATTCGACCAATTAACCGATAGTAAGCAAGAAATTGAACGAGAACTGAAAAATCGATCATGGAGCAGTCGAAGACAGAACTTGAAGCTAACACAATAAAGCTAGACATATATGCATCAAAATCAAGAGAAAAAGTTATCGTATGTACTTACGTAAAGCTGTCAGAATTTTGTATAATGATTCGGGGATATTATTTAAAATTATATATTTTTACCCCAGTGCCGCCAGTGAATTGTAGGTATATACTATCTATATACAGGGTGTTTCAAAACAAATGCGAAAAACTTCAGGGGGTGATTCCTTGTTCAAAATAAAGGGTAGTTTGCTTTATAAACGTTGGGTCAAAAGTCAACCATTAGGGAGATATCGCGGTACAAAGATGGCGGAAAAATAATGTTTTTATTTTTTATCTTGAAAAGGAAAAGAGATAGACTAATGAAATTTTACGGAAGCATTACTGTTATGAAAGCGCACTTTCTGGTAATTTTTTCACTTTTTTAAAATGAGTGGAAGGGGTTGAAATAAACTACCCCTATCATTCTTGTTAACGAAATTTAAAGAAAAATCTTATCAAACACATGCAAAAAAATTAATTTGGATAGTTTAGTTTATTTAGAAACTTTTTTATCTCTTGTGTTTTTTTGATAAAACTCACCGATTTGAAATTAAAAAATAAAATGTAAAGCATTACATGTCAGGACAAAAAACATTTTTAGATAAAGAATCTAGTGGGCAGCTGTATTTTTTTTAGGAAAAAATCTAGTCGGCCGCTGTCACTTTTTGGATGTTTCTAATATTGTTTTATTTGACATTACCCTACTGCAATACGTTATTATCTAGATTATTATTATCATTATTATCACTAGATTCTTAATCTAAAAATATTTTTAGTCCTGAAATGTAATGCTTTACATTTTATTTTTTAATTTTAAATCGGTGAGCTTTATAAAAAAAATACAAGAGATAAAAAAGTTTCTAAACAAACTAAACTATCCAAATTAATTTTTTTACATGTGTTTGATAAGATTTTTCTTTAAATTTCGTTAACAAGAATGATAGGGGTAGTTTATTTCAACCCCTTCCACTCATTTTAAAAAACCCTTTTCGTTTTCAAGATAAAAAATAAGAACATTATTTTTCCGCCATCTTTGTACCGCGATATCTCACTAATGGTTGACTTTTGACCCAACGTTTATGAAGCAAACTATCCTTTATTTTGAACAAGGAATCACCCCTGAAGTTTTTCGCATTTGTTTTGAAAAATCCTGTATATTGCAATTTAGTATTTAGTTTTTGTTTTGTTCTATTTTACGAAAGTACAAAACGGTTCTTTGTTTGTATTTAGTATTTTTTAAGAAACATATCGAATTTTGAGATTGTTTGCTACCAAAAAATTCCAAATTTCCATAACATGTGTCATAAATAGCAATGCCTTAAAATGTAAAACGAATAGTAGTTTTTCATTAAAAGGCATAAAATCCACAGAAAACTAGTTTTGCATAAAAAGACATTTTCTATAATGGTGTCTGTATGACTCCATGTCAGCATTTTTTTGTTTTAGCCAGTTGTGCTCACATTAAGATATAAAAATTTACACACCGGAAATAACGCAAAACATTTACGCGCAGTATTCAGAATTAAATTAGTCCCCACGGTGAAACGTAACACGCTATCGAATCGTGACTATTACTGCGGTAAAAGTTAGTCAAACATAAAGGAAATAGAAAAAAAAAGGATACGGGCCATAAAGATAAAAGCCAGGCATGTGGGATCCCGGGAGGGAAAACATATTGCTTACCTCTTTGCAGTCCCACTTGGGACTCGAACATATTGTGATCACAGATAAGTTTTGTGGCCTGTTCAACCATACCACCGATATTTCCGTTAGGCTGATCCAGGATACCGCCGTGAAGTAATAATCGCTGAAACAGAAATAAAACAAGGATAAAGATTATGTAAATATATAATACAAAAATATCGCTTAAAAATCCGGTAAATCGATATGATTGGTTATTAGTATATAGAAAAAGCAGACATAAAATACCCCCATCCCATCTAAGTTCCAACTTCAGGAAGCTTAAATACTTTGAAGTTTCAATCATATTTAATATAATAATAATAGCTCCCGTATATAGCGTTTAACGCCTTGGGAGTAGCAAGGTACAGCTTGCCATACTAGAGCCGTTCGGTGTACAAGGAAGGTAATGTGGCTAGCACTACGCTTCAACCGCCTATTATTATCTCAGGATTGTGAATCCCAAGTACTCATTTAAGGCTGAGTCGACCTAGGTACCCAAACTATTTTTATTTTAATAAAAAATAGTCCGCTGATGAAATGCCGGGTGTGGGATTCGAACCCACTACCTTCAGATTGGTAGACGAGAGCCTATACCTCTACGCCACCGAGCACCTATATATTTAATATAATGTTAGATTTACTAAGAAAGAAACCCTTTATACGTTTTTTATAAAACATTTCTCTCAATTTTGAAAGCAAAATTCTATGCGTTCCATATTGGGGCATCCAGATAATGGAGGTATATGCAAAAAGCAAGCACTTGTCTCAATTACGGTTTATATTTGATGTAAATCTTCCCTTCGTCTAGGGTTTTAACACACTGTCACCGATGGCGACGAAAAACAATAACTAATAAATTTGAAATCGAAGGGACATATCACATTAATCTGGCTTATTACAAAACACAGAACAACAGCCTTCTCTGATTACGAACGGATTACAGTTGAAACGGCGATTAATTTATTATTTCCATTTGCTACTCAAAAGCCATTCTCAACGAATATCGCTGAATTCAAGGATGCCTTGTTTGACATTTGAACTTTAACGTCTGTCTCGCCTACTCTTCTCTTTGAAAATCGAACAGATAAAAGGATCCACAGGGTTGATCCTAACCTACTTATTATACATAGGATACGATTTCTTATATAAATGATAAGATATTTAGGCACGTGTCTTTATCGGCGATTTAGAATATTGGAAAACAGATTTATATTTTATTTGACTTATGAGGAATGCAATATCACATTTTTTACAGGGTATCTTAAATTCGAAGGGTCTACAGAAATAAATCCCTCGAATAGCAATGAATGGGTCACGAGTGAGAAGAGCTGACAAAATATGCTTCACCAAAATTACACAGTGGTACCTGAGAAGTAAAAAAGCACCAAAGGTCGCACTTATCTATAATTGGACTATGAGATTAGAAAGCAAACCGAAACAAAATAAATGGCATCAGAGAGAATAGCCAAAAACTTAGGGGCAAATGAAATAATAATATGCAGAGGCCATCATCGTATTTACGAGGTGAATATAACAATGACTGTTTTAATAATAATATCAAATTACATACAAATCGATTAAACATCCTTAACTTATCAACGGGGATTTTAATAATCAAATTATCAGAACAAAACAGAGAAAACATTATCTTCCAATAAATTAACAAAGCACTTGGTTAATTACCGTATTGCAAATCCGGCGTATTGCAAAACACAATACAACAGTCCTCTCTTATTACGAACGGATTACAGTTGAAGCGGCAATTAATTTATCACCTCTATTTGCTACATAAAAGCTATTCTCAGTGAATATCGCTGAATTCAAGGAAGCCTTGTTTGACATTTGAACTTTAACGTCTGTCTCGCCTACTCTTCTCTTTGGAAATCGAACAGATAAAAGGATCCACAGGATTGATCTTAACCTGCTATGTTATACATAGGATATTATTTCTTATCTAAATGATAGATATTTAGACACGTGTCTATATCGACGATTCAGTTTATTGGAAAACACTTATTTAAAATGGGACTATGAGATTAGAAAGCAAACCGAAACAAAATAAATGGCCTCAGAGAGAATAGCCAAAAACATAGGAGAAAATGAAATAATAATATGCAAACAGGGAGACATTATCGTATTTACGAGATGAATAAGGGTACATATGATGTTAATGACGATATTGATAGTAACAATGATTGTTTTAAGAATAATATCAAATTTCATACAAATCGATTATAAACATCCTTAGCTTATCAACTGGGATTTTGATAATCAAATTATCAGAAAAAAAAACAGAGAAAAACATTATCTTCCAATAAAACAACAAAGCACTTGGTTAATTACGGTTTATATTTGATCTCAATCTTCCCTTCATTAAGGGAAGAAACTGTCACCGATGATGATAAAAAACAACAACTAATAAATTTTTGGAAAAAGAATAGATAAAAAGATCCACAGTGTTGATCCTAACCTGCTATATTATACATAGGATACGATGTCTTATATAAATGAAAGATATTTAGGCACGTGTTTTTATCGACGATTATTATATTAAAAGACAGATTTATATTTTATTTGACTTATTTGAAGTGCAATACCACATCTTTTACAGGGTTTGGTTTTTTTTTGGTTTTCAAATTATCAGAACAAAACTGAGAAAAACATTATCTGCCAATAAAACAATAAAGCACTTGTTTAATTACTGTTTATATTTGATCTAAATATTTCCTTCATTAAGGGCAAAAACTGTCACCGATGACGACGAAAATCAACTACTAATAAATTTGTAATCGAGAGGACATATCACATTAATCCGGCGTATTACAAAACACAACTCAACACTCCTCTCTTATTACGGACGAATTACAGTTGAAGCGGCAATTAATTTATCACCTCCATTTGCTACACAAAAGCCGTTCTCAGTGAATATCGCTGAATTCAAGGATGCCTTGTTTGACATTTGAACGTCTGTCTCTCTCTTAACTTTAACGTTTGTCTACTCTTCTCTTTGGAAATCGAATAGATAAAAGGATCCTCAGGGTTGGCATAACCTGCTATATTATACATAGGATATTATTTCTTATCTAAATGATATATATTTAGGCACGTGTCTTTGTCAAGTGCAGTACTACATCTTTTACAGGGTATCTCAAATTCGAAGGCTTTACAGAAATAAATCCCTCAAATAGCAACGAATGGGTCACGGGCGAGAAAAGATGAAAAAATATGGATCACCAAAATTAAGTGGCACCTGAGAAGGTGCTGAGAAATAAAAAAGCACCAAAAGTCACAGATGGTTACTAATCTAAACTGGGACTATGAGATTAGAAGGCAAAAAAAGAAGGCTGAAACAAAATAAAGGGCCTCAGAGAGAATAGCGAAAGACATAGAATCAAATGATATGAATCTACGCAAATAGGAAAATATCATCGTATTTACCGGATATATATAAGGCTACATATGATGATAATTATGATTATGATAACAACAATTATTATTTTAATAATAATATTATCAAATTACATAAAAATCGATTATAAACGTCCTTAATTTATTAATCAAATTATCAGAACAAAACAAGAAAAACATTATCTTTCAGTAAAATAACAAAGCACTTGCCTTAATTACTGTTTACATTTGATCTAAATCTTCCCTTGATCAAGGGTTTTAGCACATTGTCACCGATGACGAGGAAAAATTACAATTAATAAATTTGAAATCGAGAGGACATATCATATTAATCCGGCGTATTGCAAAACACAATACAACAGCCCTCTCTTATTACGAAGGGATTGCAGTTGAAGCGGCAATTAATGTATCACCTCCATTTGCTACACAAAAGCTATTCTGAGTGAGTATCGTTGAACTCAAGGATATATTTATTACATTATTTGACATTTGAACTTTAACGTCTCTCTGGTCTACTCTTCTCTTTGGAAATCGAATAGATAAAAGGATCCACAGGGCTGATCCTAACCTGTTATATTATACATAGGATACGATTTCTTATATAAATGATAGATATTTAGGCACGCGTCTTTATCGACAATTTAGAATATTGGAAACCAAATTTATATTTTATTTGACTAATGAGAAGTGCAATACCACATTTTTTTACAGGGTAACTCAAATTCGAAGGGTCTACAGAAATAAATCCCTCATGGGTCACGGGTGAGAAGAGCTGACAAAATATGCTTCATCAAAATTACACAGTGGTACCTGAGAAGTAAAAAAGCACCAAAGCACCACTTATCTAAAATTGGACTATGAGATTAGAAAGCAAACTGAAACAAAATAAACGGCATCAGAGACAATAGCCAAAAACTTATAATAATATGCAGAGGGAGATATCGTATTTACGAGATGAATATAACAATGATTGTTTTAATAATAATATCATATTACATACAAATCGATTTATCAAATTATCAGAACAAATCAGAGATAAACATTATCTTCCAATAAAACAACAAAGCACTTGGTTAATTACAGTTTATATTTGATCGAAATCTCCCCTTCATTAAGGGAACAAACTGTCACCGATGGCGACCAAAAACAACAACTCATATATTTGAAATCGAGGGGACATATCACATTAATACCGCGTATTGCAAAACACAATACAACCGCCCTCTCTTGCTACAAACGGATTACATTTGAAGCGGCAATTAATTTATCACCTCCACTTGGCTACACAAAGCTATTCTCAGCGAACAAGGATGCCTTGTTTGACATTTCAACTTCAACGTCTGTCTCGCCTACTCTTCTCTTTGGAAATCGAACAAATAAAAAGATCCACAGGGTTGATCCTAATTTGCTATATTATACATAGGATACGATTTCTTATATAAATGATAGATATTTAGGCACGTGTGTTTATCGACGATTCAGTTTAATGGAAAACAGATTTATATTTTATTTTTTGAAGTGCAATACCACATCTTTTACAGGGAATATCAAATTCGAAGGGTCTACAGAAAATCCCTCAAATCGCAATGAATGTGTCATGAGCTTCACCAAAATTACACAATGGTACCTGTGAAGATGCTGATAAGATGCTGAGAAGTAAGAAAGCACCAAAAATCACTCTAATCTATACTGGGACTATGAGATTAGAAAGAAAAC